GCCTGTCATTTTAATTAAAAACATCAACAGTTCAACTTGATGGTAGGCTAACATTGTTGTAATGTGATATACCTTTAATTCAAAAGAACCTAAATTCATCCTGTTAAAATATAAACATCCTAGCTTCCCATTTTGTAATGTAGCATGTAATCATGATGATATCCACATTTGTCTTTGGAATAACTTTATAATCTTTCATCAAGTCAAAATTCAAATCGTTGCTCGTGGCGCAGTGGACTAGATGTTGCACTTTTCAAAAACTTTCTCCTCCCCTGAGGGTCGCTTCATGACCTTTGCAGCCGGTAAACATAAATAAACAAACTACTAAACATCAGAATATATACATTGTGTATTTGATTTAATAAGATGTGGTGTTGTAATTTTGCCTAAAAGTCAAATAAATAAATTCTTGAGAGAATTGGTCAAGCGAAGGTAGAATCACTACTGAAATATTGATTTTTTTTTTTCTCTTTTTTAGTGTAAAGACAGCACATTTACAACAGAAGCATTTCTGACAGTTATAAAGATGGCGTCTACCATTGATGAACTTCATGCTGTCAATCAAATATTGGACACAGAAATTGCAAAACAACGATCAAAAGATGCCAATAAGAAAACAGATGATGGTAAGATCATTAACATAATTAGATCATTAACCTAATTAGATCATTAACATAATTAGATATAACCATTTGTTTTTTTACTAATATTTTTCTAATAATATTTTTTGGAATTTATTTTGCCTATAGGCTCTGAATCAGATGCCAAGCAGCAGTTAAATAGTTTACAGTTTGTTAAGAAACTGTGTGTGCTAACTATTAAACGCAAGAATGACGGGGAAGACTTTGAGCAAGCCATGGAGGCGGTAAGTCTAATGATTTTGTATTAGTAGACTGTATTGATCTATATTTTTAAATTCAAATTCCTTTATCTTGTTCATCCTGGCAGTATAGTAATCACTAAATTGTAATCACAAATGTCAATATTAGAAATGCACAAAAAAAAACACATCAATTATAATATGATAGGCAATAAAATATGAGAATGTTAAGCACTGTGAGTGCCATTTCTGGCCATCTAGAGGTGCTATAATCATAAATCTTCTTATCTCAGCTCCAACCGTGGTGGGGCTGTGGTAGTATAGACCCTTCATATTTGAGGTCTCTCCCTTGATCCATCTATTTCAAATTCCTACTAGATACGCCACTGGTATCATATCATTTTTTCGTCGTTAAAAACACATACAATATATAAAATGGCAAACATGATTTTAAAAAGATAACTAAACCCCACAATTAAATTTGCGGCTGGGACCGAAAAATCTTCCCCAGTCTCAGAAAACCACAGGGCCCCGAGCCCAAGTGTTTCACACTGTAGGCAATAAAATATAAGAAATGATAATAAAATCGTCAAAATTGACATAGCAATATAAAATGCACTGAAAGGTTAAGACAGGCATCAGAATTTGAAATATGGTGGTGAGTCATAGAAATACTTCAATCTTCACACCATCAAATTTTTATGTGACAAATAACTCCATATTTGGGTGTAATATTGCATCATCATGCCCATATATGGGCACATGACACAAATCTTTCACATAGAATTTGATAATGTTGACCAAGCTTTATATATATATATATTACTAAAATATTTTAGAAATTGGAAATTTGGCATATTTCATGGGAAATATATTTAAAATGTTTACGTAGGGGTAAAAACTTGAGTGTTGCGTATCACTGCAATTTAATGATGTTTTTGTTTTAAAGGTTGAGGCACTTTTTAAGGTATGGGATTGGACTGTTCTGATTTCTATTATCTCTGCATTTATATTCACATATATCTTTCACCTGTTTTTGTTGGCATTTCGTTAGAACACATTTGCATGTTAAAACGTTACACAATTTATTTCTCAGGTTGCCCAAGGAAATCAGACTTGTCAATAAAGTATTATTATAAAATATATATTGTTTGCCCAGCATGGTACTACATGCACGTTTGTTTTCAGTTTTTCTTTTTGATTTTAATTAAGATTACTATGAAATACGGAAGCTGCATACAGTGGGCCTTCTATATCCAACATAATAACACACAGATTGTTGATTTGGTGGAGGGAGCATGAATAGCTTTGTCAGTGTGTATAGTCTACTTTACACTAGATATGTAGCCAAATGGTTTTAATATGATCAACTATTTCCAATTTCTTGCTTTGTTGGCCTGGTCTTAAAAATACTTCCATTACTCTACATTCATCAGTGTTTTGTCTTAGTTGAAATTGTGTGCCATGCAGAGGTTTAACATTAAAGAAAAAAAGATACATTGGCATGGTAAAAAAAACATAGCATACAAGTTAACCTGGGGATTGCTGAATGTATGGAAAAATATTAAAGTGGTTCCTCAGTACACTGAGCATAATCAACCTGCACAAATACAAGAGTTAAAAATTTCATTACTTGGTTAAAAATTATACAGGTATAATTTTTAAATGTCAACAATTGAAATAAAAAAATGTGACATCACACTGCATGAATATAAGAACAAAGTGCAGCACTAAAACAATGTAGTACTAAGTGCAGTACTAAAACTTTGATTATTTATAATTAGCACTCTAATATTTGAGGGAAAAAATAGTGAAATGAGAATACTTTAATAATAATAATTTGTTTAACAGAATCATTGTTTCTAGACCAAAGGCACTAACACATTATCTAACATGTAAAGTGTTGACCCTTATTGGAAAGCTAGGCACACACAGCGTGGTATGATTCATACAACCACCGTCTGATAAATTTAACTTGGCTCCCTGTGAGCACTAGGTGATGCAACACCATCTGCTGATTGTCGGTGGCAGTCTCAATGGATCATCATTAAAAAGAATCATTAGTGCCTATGTGGCATTGCATTCTCTATAGAATGACGTTGGCCAAAAACCAAGCAAGTGATTGCCCAGCTTAAGCCTACTGCTTCTATTTGTATTTATGTGATTGTTTTTTTCTTTAGGAAGTGAATGGTGTTGAGAATGACTACTCAAACTTGTATTCTTTACCGTTTAACGTCGTCCTTAATAACAACATAGCGTTATCCCATTTTATAGGTAAGTCTACTTTAGCATTTCCTGTTAAATATCATGTTAACTTACGTCAGAGCCGCTGCATCACTTGGCTGATTAACAGAATGGTAACGATGGGAAAGTTACGATCCACATAAAGTATTGTGAGATTAATTGGAATGGTTAATGAGAGGTAATCAAGTGAAAGGTGATGCCAGATTGAACTTAAAGTTAAAAGCTTTAAAGTTGCTAGCAGCCGCAAATGCTTGCAGGGCTGTGTCAAGTTATTTACTGTCAATAACTTTTCATAAAAAAATCATTTTATTAGGTTGTAATAATGTTTTAAAATATCCCACTAGGAAGAATATGGAATTTTTAAATAATAATAACTGGTATCATTAAGAGTTTGGATAGTGTGATAGGCTTGTGTGATGTAATCAATGGCGCCACTGCAAGTATTCTTGTAGACAACATAAGCCTTTTGTGTTATAAATTCAATGTGCTTGTCAATTATTTATTGCAACACACTTTGTTACAGTGTTCGAAAAGATCTATCAAAAATGTTTTTGTTTTTTTTTCTTTTTTTTAATTTACTGGGTGTCTTTTTTACTATTTTGTTGTAATTCTTTAGTAAGTTTGTCCGCAGAAAAAAAGTCTTATGTACTAGTATTTTTGTAGGTTAATGTATTATTAGAGATAACATTGGTGTACAGTAGATGTATTGACAAATGATGACAAATGATATGATCCGTATGTGCTATACATTCCATTTGATAACTTAAAACACATTATTTGGTTCAAATAAACCAGAGTTGTTTTTAGATATTTAATTATCACATGCTTAGTTATCGTACATCATAAATCACATTTTATTGCTATTTTAATTCCCTCCATAGTATGTATATTCCTTTAAGTAACTTATGTAATGGAACCCTTGAACGTGAGGATTATGGAAGATGTAGGTAATATGCTGCCGTAACACTTTGCTATTAATAGGTTTTATAGCTGTCTACATTTCAAGTTGCTATTTTACATTTCCTTAAGATGAATAATTTACCAAAAACACTTCTTTGGAAACACCTGTTTGGCATGCCTTGTAGTCTGTGTCAAACATGTCAAGTAAAACCATTTTCTTAATGAAATTGGTAAATGGATGAAAACAACTTGAACTTAAAAGGGGATTCAGGTAGACATTATATATTATGAATGATTGCCAAAAGGTAAACCTGAAAGAAAAAAAACAGATAAACTAAAAGAATTTTAATTACCTTGATATGATCCGTGAAATGTTAAAAATCTTGGAAACAGTAACGATCATACATACTGTTCAACAATTATACGTAGTTTTCAGCAATCATATATACTGTAGTGTTCAAAAGTAGATTAACTGCCAATTTAAGGGTCTACGTAAAAGAATATACTGTAGGAACTTTTTAATATTTATGTCTGTTAAGCGGTGAAGATATTTCCCATTCTTATTATTAATTGAAACTAATAATTTATTTTAATATACGAAGTTGCAGATCAAAGACTTAACATTATTTTAAGTTTTTTTATCTCCCCACTGATGGTATTTGTTAATTAAAAATGTAATTAAAAATTGGCACATTCAAAGTATTTGATTATAATTACATTTATATAAACCATTTAAATTCAACTCTTATTGTCTGTTCAAACAATCACTGGCTTTACGTCATTATGCTTTTTGCCATTGTAAACATGAATTATTCTCACTGCTGTTTACAAAATGTAAACTGTTATAATAGCTTATGGTATGCTTCTCACCTTCTGTTGTTATGTCTTTCCCCAAACAATATCAGCAGCAATTCTCTTTAACTTTCAAATTGCTATAAGATATGGCTTCTTATTGCTAATCATATTGTGATTGTTAATGTTTTTGGTCTAATTTCACAATATAGTACTGTACCAAATTTATAATTTGTATTGTTATATTTTATGTACTGAAAGCTACAGTTTTAGGAATAATTTTTTTTTTTTTTTTTTTTTTTAGGAATAATTTCTTTTTTTTTTTTTTTTTTTTTGCAACATAATTTATAGTAATTTTCTTCCTCTATTTGTTGTTATTGTTGGTTCCCGTTCACAATGTATTCTATGCAGTAGGACAAGGAAGTACTCCAATCTACAGTTTTGTGCATGCGAGTGTGTGTGTGGGTGTGTCTGTTTTTTACTCAGTTCTTAAACTGGTTATCGTCATCAAATCTGAAAAGATATATTAATTGAAATTTTAGTAATGTAGAGTTAGATAATTAGGAGGCTATTGTTGTTGGTATTGTTAATAATATTGTTTTGTTGTTATTTTTATTATTATTTATCATTTTTTGAAAATAACATTTATCTTTGTTATTTATAAAAGAAATTGATAAGCATCAAGCAAAGTATATTTTTATATTTAATAAAAGTAAAGGGTATTTTATCAATTTATGTATTTATTTGTAGAATTCTTGGGAACAATTGATGCCCAGTCCTACCTGCATTTTTACCTGACTGTTGAAAGCTACCGAGTGACAGCTGAACAAAAGATCTCTGCCATCCACTTACAGCGAAAGCATCCATCCAAAGCATCATCACCTGAGCTAGAAACGTTACGCAAAGAGGCTTGGAGTGTATTTGAACAGTATCTGACAGAAGATGTGAGTGGCATCAGAATAATGATGTGGAGTGTATTTGAACAGTATCTGACAGAAGATGTGAGTGGCATCAGAATAATGATGATGCTTGGAGTGTATTTGAACAGTATCTGACAGAAGATGTGAGTGGCATCAGAATAATGATGATGCTTGGATTGTATTTGAACAGTATCTGACAGAAGATGTGAGTGGCATCAGAATAATGATGATGCTTGTGATTGTGGCGATAGTAGTATGATAGTGTAATAAAGTGGATTGTAGCGATGGTATGATAGTGTGATAAAGGTGATTGTAGCGATGGTATGATAGTGTGTTAAAGGTGATTGTGATTGTACCGCTGGTGGTATAGTGTGATGAATGTGATTGTGATTATGGCAATGGTATTATAGTGTGATGAAGCTGATGGTATGATAGTGTGATAAAGGTGGCGATGGTATGATAGTGTAATGAAGGTGATTGTAATTATGGCGATGGTATGATAGTGTAATGAAGGTGATTGTGATTATGGCGATGGTATGATAGTGTAATAAAGGTGATTGTGATTATGGTGATAGTGTGGTAGTGTGATGAAGGTGATTGTGATTATGGCGATGGAATGATAGTGTGATTATGGCGATGGTATGATAGTGTGATAAAAGTGATTGTAATTATGGCGATGGTATGATAGTATGTTAAAGGGGATTGTAATTATGGCGATGGTATAGTAGTGTGATAAAGGTGATTGTGATTGTGGCAATGGTATGATAGTGATTGGTGTAAATGTGGTAGAATGATTATGGTGGTGGTGGTGTTGAGAGTGGGGACAATGTGGACATAATTGGGTGTTGATGGTAAATGGTAGTAAATAGTAGTAATGGAGGGTCCATTTTCAATTTGTTGATCATAATAAGTGGTTGTTCATAATAGTGGTAGTGGTGTTTGGTTTTAATGACTTACCTCCTTTAATTCATGAAAAATTCTTGTAGTTTTCTTTTTGTTTGTTTCTAAATTGGGTTTTAATTTTCTATTATCAGTCGCCCCATCTCATAAATTTAGGAGATGATACAGTGGTGAAGAGAACCCATCAAAGAATCAAACTAGGAGAACCATCGGAAACAGTGTTTGATGAAGCTCAGAAAATTGTAAGTGAAGTTTGTATGAACATCAAAAGGTTAAACGGAAGCTGTAGCCTGGTGGTTAAGATGCTTAATTTCCAACCCTATGTCCTCGGATTAGAAAGCAAACACCATAACCTACAGCTGTTATTAAATGTTATTACAATTGTGAATGACAATTATATAGGGCCAAACCAAACCACATTTTCTTTAAGGTGCTATATCCTGAAGTCCTTAAAGATGTACTGTCCCATGCAAAATAACAAAAAAGTCATAAAAATCATTTTTGAAATTAACATTTTTGAAGTAACATGAAAATTATCAACTTGAACATAGAAATTAATGTATTTTAAAAAATTTTACAGTAAAAAATGATAGAAACACTTCCTGTCATTGCAAGTGTTTTATTACTCTTATTATAATTATCCAGCTTCAAAATCAGGGTAAACTTTTTTTAACTTTAATAATTTCTATGCTCACATGAATAATTTGTATGTTACTGCAAAATCAGCAAGTTAATTTCAAAATTATTTTTTTATGATTTTTTTTTTTTTTGCATTTTCAAGGGATAATACATCTTTAATGACAGATGTTCTTCTTTAAGAGTTGAGTTTTAACTGTTTTTTTGAAAGTGTGCATTGAATCAGAATTTTTTATAATTTTTTGGTAGAAGATTCCATAGGCATAGTGCTTTGCATGTGAAAGATCTCTCAGAAAATGTATGTCTGCTTGTTCTTGGCTTGAATAGTAGATGAGCTGAGAGTGCTTTGTAAAAATGTACACATAAGATGACTAAGATAATTTTATTTTTTTTAAATTAAAGCATTAAAGATGTACAGTACTTTATGGCAAAAAAATCGGGCAAGCCTCAAAAATTTAATAAGAATGGTGAATTTCAATTCTTTTAAAATAGCTCAATAAAAAAGGATGAAATAATTTATTAACAAGAAACATAGGAAAACAATTGTTTTGTTGATTTATAGGGGTCAGTGTTTTCTCATTAAATTTTTAATTGTAATTTTAAGTTAATAACTAATTTCTTTCTCTTCTCAGGTACATAAGATCCTCCAGGAAGACCAGCATTATTTAGCTTTCAAACAGAGTTCATCCTACCGACGGTGTCTAGCAGAATTGGACCTTTTGACGCCTAAGACCAACGGCAAGCTCCCTGATGACGACAACCAGTTTGACTCCTCTCCCGATAGTAGTATAGCAGCGGTAAAAACTCCTAATTCCTAATGACGTTTTTGTTACCATTAAGTTAAAGCCTTTAAAAGCATGGACATTAATTATTAAGGGTTGGTTATAAATAGTTGGCAACAAAATTTATGTCTACATGCTGTATAAACATTAGTTGAATTATATTATTTGTTCACAGAAACACTTAAAAAATACTTGGGAAAAAATGTTTCTGATGATAAAACTTAAACAGTGATACAATTGTGAAATATAATGTCTGCTGATCAGGTGGTTATATATGAATGCTATAAATAATCACAATTTTAAGGTTTGTGATGATTGTATATTCAAGATCCCAAAAGTTTTTTGTTTCAGCTATATTTTGGTTATTCTATTTATTTTATTTTATGCATATGATATCAATCAATTTCTAAAAATGATATATTAGATTTTTCTGTAACTTGTAGATAATGATTTCATCATTTTTATCTACAAATTAAATAGTCTTCTGAAGATCTCTCGTCATTTGGGAGCACAGATTCTCTGGACAACTTTTCTATGGATTCTGATCTTTCAGCGGACGCCTCTGTAAATATTAACGCTGAAATAACTGAAGCAAGTAAGTAGACAACATTTGATTTTTCCTCTCACCTTGGTGTTGTGTACAATTTTTGACATTTGTATATTTTCATACATTTCTATGAGATGAAATATAGTGTACAGTAATTAGGCCCATTGTGAAGTTGGGTTTTTTGTTTCTTTAGTTTCCTTGTCCAACAAACCTGTGTTACATTGGCTTTTATAACAATTATTTTAAAATTTCACTCAAAAGTGTACACATGAAGTTAACTACCAACATTGATGATTTTCAGTGTGTGATTTTTAACCAGGTATTATTTGTTTTAAATTCTAGTACCTAGTAAAGACCCAGCAGCATCAGGGAAAATGTTTACACTATATGTGATTCGAGTGACACGAACCGACCACAATGACCACACAGAGATCTGGGACGTTTACCGTCGATTCAGCGACTTCCACGATCTACATATGCGCTTAACCGAAAAATATGACAACATTGATTCACTGCAATTACCGAGCAAGAGGGCGTTCATGAACATGAATAAATCATTTCTTGATAAACGCATCAAATCATTAACATCCTATGTTAAGGTATATTCCACACACAGCTTGTTTACACAATGTAAACTATAATTGAGAAGAATACTTAACAAATGTATTTTTTTTTAAGAAAAATTATGGGATAACCTGAAGTTGGTAGCGATGCTAATTTCAGACATTTTGGGTGGTAGCCTAAAAATTGTAAATGCTGTCAAATGTTTAGCTTTGCCAGGGCCAGTCACATATAATTATAACAATAGTAACATATAATATAAACATGTTAGTCTTATGTAGCATATTATTCCAATGCTTCTTTCCTCAATATTTTTTATTCAAGTAAATCCAATTATGCCAACACAAATATGATTGCTAATACGCAATATGTCATGTTGCAATTTATTTAAGGCAACTCGTCAATTAAATTTGATCCATTGCAAATGTCCCAAGATGGTGTATATAAATTGGAAATGCAGACATCAAAGATATCGCAAAAAGATCTTATTATGCAGTAGTATTAAGATAGGAATTGAGTAGTTGGGACTTAAGACATCAAACTTTCTAGCAATTGGATGTTATTCTCAGACTTACTTGCATCCAAACCTTACTAAATAATCATGACTGATATTTATATTATTTTTATTCAGAGGCTCGCTACAAGCAGTAATGTATTTTCCCTTTTTAGTGATTGTATTCCATTAAAAATGTTGCTACATGTTTAGACAGGTACAGTGGTGGCGCCAGCGGGGGCAGAGGTCGTCGGACCAAAAAATAAAAGAAAATAATTTGCCTACCCATATAATGCTATTTTGATTGCCGATCCCTAATATTGTGGTCTAAAAGCACATTTAGGACCAAATTAAGCCATAAAAACTCTCCCCATGAACCCTAACAGCAGTTTTTTTATTTAGGGCCGTTGACTGAGGCTTCGTCATCGCCTTGGTTCAGACCCCTCCATTGGACACGTCGGACCCCTCATCGGCGAATGTTTTTTTTAACAGAATAATTTGATTACCCTTTATAATAACGGTGTTTTTAATAAGGTTAATGGTAGAATTTGAAACCTTACAGCATTGAAGTAAAGTCAAAAATATAAAATATAACTTTTCTAAATAAAATTAATTCTGCCATTTCTTGCTCATCATTGGTGATTTAAAAAGATGTAAAAAAATATTAATAAATAGTAAATTAATGTGTTATTTTTTTTCTATTTTCTTTCATAATTTAATTTAGAAACTGTTATTAAATGACATGTGGCTGAAATATCCAGGCATGTTGAATATCATCTTGAATTTTCTAGAGCCCGGAGAATATTCAAGAGGCAAGAGCAAATTAGCTCGTAAGGTGAGAGCATTAGCAATTATATTAATCATAGCTAAATATAGAATCATAAGATTATGCACATAAAGCATACCACTCCACAATGTGAAGTGTGATTACAGACTCTGATTATTACTCATGTCTATAATGAGCTTGTAAACTGGGTTTATAGGTTCACAGGAAATTTGGCCAGAAATTTTTACCTAAGGCTGACGTACATCAACATTGATAAATCATGACAAAAATGAGTCATGATAAGTATTGCAAAAGCAAGTGTTATTTTTTATGTAGTACAGTAATTTCTGAGTTATCTAGGTATTCAGTTGTTACCTTACAGCATGCATGCAAGCAATACACATCCCATAAACACAGTTATAATAATAATAATAATATTAATGACTTTATTTGAAAATGGAAAACTTGATCACAAATTATTTGTGTTTTTCACAAGGCCGCTTAAAAGTAAATATAAACAAAATTTAAATTACAAAATCAAAACTTAAATAATCAAAAACAAAATAGAATAGAGTTAAGTGGATAAAGTGGGAATACCAATCGTGATAAGTATTTCAAATTTTTTTTTAAATGTAGGTAAATTTGTACAAAATTATATTACCATTCTTTATATTACCATTCTTTATATTACCATTCTTTATATTACCATTCTTTTTATTGTAGTTAACCAACAAAAGCTTTTTAAACATTCATTCTGTATTGCTAATTTGTGTGCCAAAACATAGGAATTGTTCTCTTTTTTCTATCCCCTGTTCTTTCTCGGCAATCAAAATCCTGAAATATACATAAATATTGTTGTTTAAGTTCATTCATTGTAAATTCAGTGAGGCACTGAATTACAGCAGTTTTTACAATATGTATTTTAAAAACATTTTATAAATGAATTAATGTACTATTGTTACATAGAAAATTATGACAAGAGTTGTGGCTGAAGCCCATATTAAGAATTCCATAGTCAATAAAAATCTTATATACACAGGTTTCACACCAATGAAGATTAAATTGTGGCACAATAGTAGTATTTGGTGTATAGTTTATTATTTATATACATGACATTTATATTTATTCCCTAATTATTTTAATATTCCTCATTTTATTTATCCTGTTAGAATCTACCTCCTTCTCTTACGTCTAATAGAACTAAGTATTTGGTAGGTTTTTCCGGACATTGTTTGCATGTCCCATCATTTTGATTTTGTTCACTTGATTTTTTTTTTTTTTACATTTTCATTTTTTAAGTACTTGCTTTTCCAGTAGATCATGTTTCATTGTGTGACATTTGACCATAAAGCAGTTGAACTTGAAGTTTTATGAATATTCATTAATTAAACATCTGCATTTGAGCTGACAGATGACAAAGACAGATGAAATCATGAAGTCAACAGTTTCTTTCATTCCCATCCCCCTAGCCGCAAAAATTATGGAAAGCTTACTGGTTAAATGATACATTAATGTAAATATTATTTTCAGTTCAGTAAGACTACTTAATTATTGATTAATTCATTGATTTATTGATTGTTTATTAGGCTGCAAAATAAATTATTGTTATTACAGTATTTTAATCCCTATAATTATTGAATTATGTACTAAAATTTTTTTTTTTTAATTATTTTAAAATTTGATTCAAAAGCAGAAATAACATTTTATTTGTTTAATTATTGTTTGCTTTTATCTAGCTAATATAGAATTTCTTATAATTTTTAATAATATTAGGTTTGCTTAGTATAAGATTGTATTCAATTAAGTCTTTGGACTTGTGTTAATTTTTATTTACTTTAAAATTATTGTTTGCTTTTAACTATATAGAATTTCTTATAATTTTTAATAATATTAGGTTTGCTTCTTATAAAGATTGTATTCAATTAAGTCTTTGGACTTGTGTTGATTTTTATTTACTTTTAATTTACAGTTTAGTTGTACTTTTCTATGATTTTACTTTGGAATTATTCTATTTTATGCTTTGGTTGTTTGCCTTTATATAATTAATAATATTAACTTTACTTAATTTGTTATTTGTCACTCAGCTAGATAGATAGTTTATTGCTTCCTTATCATTTACCGTTAAATTAATATTTCAGAATTTACAGATGAAATTTGTAAATTGATATAAGTACTACATATTAATACCACAAAATGAGACATTAATGTTATATATAACTTAAACCTTGGATCACATGCTAATCTTTATTGTTTTCATTAATAAGTCATTAGTCATTTGCAGATTATCCATTATGATCAAAGTAGAACCACCGACCTATAACAGTCACCAATCAGATTCTTCATAGAGTCCTCTTCATGCTCTGTTGTGTGACTGATCAGATTGGCTTATTTAATGTGTGTTTTTCAATATTTGTCCATCATTTATTTGGATAGTTAAAATAATTTACAAGTTAATTCATTATTTCTTTCATTTTTTGGTAATCTATGATGGTTGTTATATTGTAGATTTAACTTTAATCCAATTTTAAATAATATTTATTATATGAAAAATAGTAATTCATTCCCAGATAATCATTCAAGGGCCTCTGTACCCTTCACCTACTTTGTTCAATGAATCAAATACTAAGGAGTATACAGATCTGCAACAGGGAATTGCATAATTAATTAATAATTATTATTAGTACATTAGTTCATTAGTTTTGTATTTATTGTTCTTGTTTGGCAGATAATAGCCCTTAATGTCTGATGTAGCAATAAAATTTGAATTGAAAATTGAATTGAATACTTAAAATGCATATGGAAATATATTATATAAATAATCAAATAAATGTAATCTTGTAGATATATAAATGAATAACAAATGAATTTGCTTATTGGTAGATGGATCATATAGTAAACCCATTAAAAAATGTGGCACATTCGGTGAAGTCAATGCCCGGTAGTCTGGTAGATGGGGTGTCAGCAGTAGGGGACAAGATGTCCGACAGCCTCAATAAGGTCATTTTCAGTAAGGTAAGCTCAACAACTTTCTCTTCACCTTTTCTCTCCGTTCAGCTTTTACAAGTCATACATGATTTTCTTGTAAGAAATAAAAACCTCTTATGTTTTGTCAAGATATACTCTATTTGTTGAGTTAAAAACCTGAAAAGAAAAATTAAATTGAATACATGAATTGTTTACGTTGTATTTTCTAGCAAGTTTAAGTCCTGGTTTTCAATTGAAAATAAGAAAAGAAAATTTATTCACAATTTAGGGACATGATTAGTACTCTTTCCTATATTCTTTGCATAAAAACTTGGCTGTAATTGAGTTTTTTCATAATAAAAGTCCATTCATCAGTGAAAACTTGGTGCATACTCATAAATGAGCTACTCAAGTATTTCATTGAATATTTTTGGGGGTTTTTTTTGAGAATGTAGCACAGATATCTTTTTTTACAGTATTGTTGGATGTCCATTTTAAAATGTCTTTTTTGTGTGTATCTTGAAACAGAGTAATGGTAATCTTTATGCAGATTATTAGTAATCTCTTATGCAGATTATTAGTAATCTCATGGTTTAGGGATGGGATTACCACACATATTTTAAAGAAGTAACAACACTTCTGATCTTCAACTTCAACATACATATCATTTTGTCAACTTAAAAAAAAATGTTGAAGTTTATTTTGTATGTAATGGAAATAGAACATTATGATTCAACGATTTCAGTAACACTTCCAAACCTTACTTTTAGAGATTTTACAAGGAAAACAGAGGGCACAGAAGTTGCATGTATTTTGTATTTTAAAATCAACCTATCAATCAATCAGTCAAATTATAAGTACGCATAATGCAACATACCTAATAGTTATATTGGGAGCAGTTAGATACCTATATGATCATCATAATCACCATCATTATCATCATTATCATATCATATCATCATTCTTAGCATACTCATTATTATAATCATCACCATAATCTTCACCCTCATCATCATTATCATCTTCATATCAAAATTGGCATCACCAATAATATTATTGTGATAACAGGTATTATTATTTAAGATACCTGGAGATAAGATGAAATATTGGTTTCAAAATCATGTACACTTTGTTTTTATTTTTGTTGCTTTTACTCTCTTACTTCCTAGCCCCAATTGAAAAGAATCAAGAAGGTTTGTAACGAGTATTTTTGTGTTATTAACACGCGTTACTATGTGTTATTAACACGTGTGTCCAGTCGCTACACTCTGCTAATAATAATAATAATAATAATGATGCTAGGTATAGTGAATTTAGTTCTGGCAAACTTAATGAGAGTACTCAGATAATTACGCCTATGCAGATGAAAGGTAACATGGTGAAAAGGCTATGATGACTTCATATCATATCCATGCTTAAAATGATAAGGTTTTGACTTTTCATATCCATGCTTAAATTGATAAGCTAGTGATATATTAAGTTTGGTGAGGAAAACTGAAATCAATTTTAGAAATTAGATGTAATAAAGCTATTTTACAAAAACTTTGTTTTATGTAATTTTTGTTTTTTTGCCTGCTACCTTTCATCAGTTGATTTAACTACTATTTATCATTTTTTTTTATTTGCCTAATATTGCTACTAATAATATTTACTTTTAACATGAGTGATTATCATTTTGCTAACACTTAAATAAAACACATTATATAGCAAGCAATAGATTGAGTTACTGCATTTGAGAGGGTTGCTGAGAGGTCCTTGGGCTGAGAAGGACAATTTAGAGAGCGACATACCTGCTTTGATGCTCACAGCATAATTTGCCTCAAATTTTAATTGACACCACCCAATGCATTTTTTGACAATATAGTATAGTATAGTATAATTGTTTTCTGCTTGGCAACCCTTGTGGTTTGTGTTTTTAGTTGTTTTTGTTGTAGTTATGAGGACTAAGGAATACATCACTATGAAAAAATGTGTCTGCTAAAATCTACATATTCAGTGGATGATGATTATAGACATTACCAAGCTGTCATATGTACAAGTGGATCATTACCAATGAAATTAAATTTTAATTTGCACCACTTATGTATGATAATACAATTTATGCTTTTTTTGTATACAAATGCTCATAAAATTCAAATCTAATTTGGCAATTTATTGTACACACAACATCTAATTTCTTTTAAAGAATTGATTTCCTTTGATTCAATTCAAATGAATTCAATTCTTTTTTATTCAACAACAAACATTCTTTATCAATTACTCTTTATTTTAAAATACATGTAACTGGATAAATGATAGTTCCATTTCATTTCAAGATTTGACCAATCTTATCTTACATGATAGTTGAGAGTCATAATTGATATCCTGACTCCTCAAGATTTGGCCTTCCCCATCACTTGCTTGATCTTCAAAGCCCTTATATGATCACTTGAATGCCATGAATTATAGCCCTTCTCCAATGAATATTTAGCCCATCCAATCCTGCATAAGAGGTGAGATTCATAAATGAAAGCCTGCCTCCGCCAAGATAGTAGAAGTTGTGCAAGACATTGTGCAGCCTTCATGAAGTATGGATTTGCTACATTCCATCTTCAGATCATTGAAATATCTTAATTTAGTATCTGTTAAGGCTTGCTAAGGTTTCAGAAAGAAAAAATGTTCAAAGCATAGAAAAACATGATTATGAATTTCATAAAGAAAATTAAACATAAATTGGATGCTTCACAATCATTATTAATACACTAATTTTTTGCTCAAATAGTGGTTGAAGTTGTTCAGTCAGGTAATTTAAAACTATCAAATATTTCAGGCTTGTTTGGGTTGATGTTCCTTCAATGCCTTACCAATATGAAGGAAAGTAAGACAATAACACAACAGTAAAATCATGAATGATTTCTCTCAAAGTACAAATGCATTGTCTGCTAACACATAGTTGGTGACATACTGGTTCTTGGGTGACAATAAGCTAAACAAACTGTTTATTTTTATGTTAAATATTTTTTTAAGTTACTAATAAAAATTGTATTATTAATTTTTGTTTTATGTTTTTTTTTAAAAATTTGTTAACACTTGTTTTTATGTTTTTGATTCTACCACCTTTATTATATATATATTTATCCTTAAAATCTTCTTTGAAAACATTTTCTTTCATTTTGTGTTCAACCCGATCACTTTTTTTTCACTTTCACCAAAAAGCCAAGTTTAGCGAGCTTCAGGAACCTCAGTTTCAGACGCAAACAGCAGGTTGGTTGTGATTGTCTTTCGTATTGTGATTGCTATCTTAGGGAGTTCTGCCTGTGTTCTTATTCTCACAGACTCCCTAACTTGCTTCAAAAAGTGTAAATGTTTACACTTTATTTTTTAAATTGAAGAAAGTTATTGCACTAAAACTGTTAAGGTTTGAAACTGGATCTGTGAAGATAATTGAAATTTGCATGGTGTTTGCATTCATTTTATATTATTCAATATCATATTTTATTTAATTTAGTTTAACTGAAGCAGGTATACATTAACAATATTTACAAACCAAAAATAATATAAAAAGAGTAAAACTATATATTTCTATATTTCAACTACTTTATTTATCAAAATGCATGTTCAGACAAGAACATATATATGCAATGTCCAAATTGTATTCACAAATTTAATTTGTTAAAGATACATTTTTCCATTAAAGAGGTAATAACTTTGTTTTTGTGAGAAATGCATCTGAATATTCATAAGCATCTGTCTCTACTTAAAACTCACCTGTTCCAATAGAATAATGCATCTGTATTCATAAGCATCTGTCTCTACTTAAAACTCACGTGTTCCAATAGATTAATGGTCTTATAGCACTATGAGACACCAGTAAAGAGCGCTTTATAAATGCTAATTAATATTATTATACATCAACAATCTAAGACTTGTTTATTATCGTTGCTTGGTTTTCCAATTGAGACCAAACTGTACATTTATTTTAAGAGTGGAATATATCACAGATTCAGTTTCGTTTGGTTTCTACTTTGCTTAAACCAGTAATGGTTCTCTAGATTTCCTCCTCAGTCTTGCTGTTATAACCATGTCCTCAAAGATTCTAGCATTATTATTTTTCTTGCTGTATATTAGTTGTGAATCGTAACTGAATCTGCACTTGGCCAAAGTGGAATATGTATCACTAAAGGCAAATAGAAAAACATGAAGTTCTTAAGGAACTACATTATATTGTAGTTACTCTTATCTTTTCTTCTGTGGAACTATGTAAGATGTTGAAAAAGAATGTTTTCTCTATGCCTTGCAATTCATAATGTATGTAGTGTAATTGTATTGTTTTCAATTAGTAGTCAATGGGTATTCAGGTGCTCTCTTACTTAAGGACACAGTGCACAATTTTGTATCAACATTTCCCGGTTGAAATATACATGTAGATGCTTTGCTTATAGCAATTTAGCTTTTGATTTAATACTTCACCACAGACCCTATGAGTATAGGGTCTGTGATTCCAGCAATGCACTGCCTTGTTTATTTATAGCAGCTTATATCTAATATTTATATCATAACATACATCTGTAGCAGTGAGCGCATCAGTTACAACATGCCTTTGGATGCACGACACCAAGTCAAAGGGATTTATCAGTCATTTACATGACTTATGAATATTAGCTCTTAGGCCATTATAATAATGTCATTATCATATCTGTATCAGTTTGTAAACTGAGGAAAATGTCAAAATCCCAAAGAACAAATGCAAATACACTAAGTGATGCAATTATTTTTTCCCCCAATGAAACAACCTGATGAAATTGCTTCAGTATTTAATTATGTAATTGTCATACTAAGTACTGTAGTACTGTATACAGGTATCATGAATCTGAGACAGCTATCAGTATTTCACTGTGTTATATATCAGTACTGTGCTCTGTGCATTTACAATGCTTTGTATGTTGAAAATCTCTCTTTATTATTCTGCTATTGTATTATTACTGTACTATCATTATTGCCATCAATTTTATTATTACTATTATTATCACTACTATCACCATTAATTTTATTCTTGCAAGTATTTTATTACCATAATTTTCATTGCAATATTAGTTAATGGTATTTGATACAGCACCTTTTCCAGAGGATACAAAGCGCTGTGGACTAACTGTAACTCGTTTCGTAGATATAAGTTAATAAATATAATTATTATTATAATAATATGAATATTTCTTAAGTTTAATGTCAGTATTGTTTTTTGATAATTACATTCAATGTTAAAAACAGTTCATAACTACAAGTGTTAATAATTTGATAAGCTAATTTTTCAGTAATGATCCCTTACTATCATAATATCAAACTAGTTTTGTTTTATTCACTAGAGAATGCCTTAAAAACTGTCCTCTAAAATTGAGCCATTAGTTATAGTATAACATACCTACTGCCTCTGTTACTTTAGAAATGTTTCACAATGATTATATAGCATTCTTATTAAAACTGTGGGTCATGAAAGAAATTGTTTGGGTTGCCAACATTTTCAGACTTAAAAATATAGACTTTTGAACAACAGTTAGAGTATTCACTGCTTTTCTGGTCTTTAGTAGAGCAGCTTCAACAGCTGATTAGCATGCATTGTACCATGTGTCATCACAACAGATAAACTCCTATTAAAGTGTGTCTAATGTCTTTGCATGGCTCTCAACTTCTGGTTAAAATTTGGGTGCCCAGCCAAAAAAACTTTGAATAACAGGGCGATATAGCACCACGCTGGTTTCACATTAATTGAATTGTCACTGAGGTACTGTCTTATATAATCCCTTTGAGAATTCCTACATTATCTGCAAATTGATTACAGCACAATTCAAGTTGTCAAAAATTTAGGGTTCTAAGGTATTATGGTAAGTTTGACACCTGTGTAATAATGATTGTAATTATATACTGTAATAATATTATTTTATAGCTTATCACAAATGTTTTTGCAACAATAATTTTACAATTGATCAGACTCTTGAGTGTACAGGGCAAGAGGCAGGAACAGCCAAACACAGCTAATACGGTTCTGAGATGATTACAGGGTACTAATGAAGCATGTATTATTATTGTTATTATTGTTATATTACAGTTCACACCAAGAAGTCCATTGATGGAGACAGGCAAAGTATCAGAGGTACTTGACATGGATGTAAGTATACCTTTCAACTTTGGTTGCATAGTGACATGCCTACTGTACTTCTGAGCCTACTGTCAATGTGGACATGCTGAGCTCTTTGAACTTGATTGGCTATGTACAGCTTATTTTCACTGGCTGACATTTTGTGGTACAATCATTTTAAAGCTACTATGTCTCTCCATGGAGGACCTTTTATAAGTTTCCTTTTATTCTTTTATCTGAAATGCAGGAAACTGAGAATATTCCACTTCGTATTATGTTGCTGTTAATGGATGAAGTTTTTGATCTGCGTTGCCGGGACCAGTGGTTGCGCCGTCGTGTTGTGGCCTTTTTACGACAGATCATTAAGGCCACACTTGGTAACAAAATCAATGGGTTCGTAGATACATTATAATAATTCTTTATTTCATTCATTCTGATCGAAAAACGAAAATTTAGGCTGGGCTCCTGGGGACCCACGACAGCCGCAGTGCAGTAACTTAACTACAATATATAACAGACGGACACAAACATTGTCCTTAACCCGCGTAACTCTCAATATGAGGGTTATTCAAGGAGCCAAGCAATCAGACTCCCAATTAAAATCTGACCATGGCCAGGGTTTGAACCGGGGTCTTCAAGACTAGAAGCAGGAACAACACCTCACAGCCAACCTCAAAGTGAATTGTATTTCAAAGATATTTACCAAATATTTTGTAATACTTATATGTTCATTTAAAGTATGCAGCTTTTTTCTAAAGTAAATTTCTTACTAAAACACCAATATATTTTGTACTCTCTGTTGGATTGATAAATACCAATACTGGGTCTCTTGAGTGAGACCAGTACAGTACTTAATTTGTAAACTTTTAATTACTATTGACAGTGCTGATGTTTCCTTCGTGATTCAAAATCAAACTGATATTGTCGTTTGTCTCAGATTAAGGAACTACAGACATTCAAAATTCACATCAGCATCATCTTTTGCATGGCATGCAGTATCAAACAAAGTACTTCTTAGTTGTTTTTTTTTATTTATAAATTATTTATTTATTTATTTTGTTTCTTTTTTTTTTTTTTATTATTATTTTTAATATTTTGTTTATATCAGACATTAATTTAGTAGCCATATAGTCAGTATCAGTGTAACTATATAAGAACTGCACCAAATGTCAGAACCTTCAAAAAGCTTTTGTAAACTTTTTTTTTTTTAACAAGTGTAACCGGTGCATGTTCATTAAACAGTATATTTGTAAATTGTGTGTTCATTACTATCACCGGTATTTTTTTTTCTTTTCCTTTTCTCGTTTTAATATTGTCAACGGCCTTTTAAAAAAAAAACACCCATGGGTGATATAAAACTTCCGTGTGTAAATAAAATTTTTTTAATTATTATTATTATTAGTATTATTATTATAACGTTTGATATTTTTATATGTTGTAGAAAAATTGTTGAGCAAGTGGAGAATATAACATCACCAGAGCAGCTAGCTTACTATGTGAAGCACTTTAGGTAGGTGGTGGTTTTATGAGCTTTGTGCATTCATCAATCTTCTACTTAGCTTCATCATCCATTTAGCAGGGCTTTGATGTGCTTGGTGTGACATTTGTAGTCAGTGGGCTCACATAAATCTCCTTTTCTTTTATTGGAAAGTAGCTGGGACCTGTGACATTTTTTTTTTACTAATTTGGCTTGTTTTTTTTTTGGTTTTTTTTTCCTGTTTTTCTTGTATGTTTATTTGAAAACTTTTTTGTTTACAAAATCGCTTTAATTGGGTTAATTGTTCACTGCGCGTTTGATAATGTTTTTTGAATTGGCGCGTTATAAATTTCTGCATATTATTATTATTGTAAATATATTGAAATTTTAAATAGGCCTAATTTGTAGTTTTTATTATAATTTATATATTAATTTGTTATATTCAATTATTTTAAAGGGTAGCTGGCTCATCTGAGTTATAGCAGTGTGCTTTGCTTAGGCTACCCCTGTCCAGCATTTAAATTTTTGTTTTTCTCACACATGTATTTTATTGTTACTGTAATTATAAATGTTGATCGAATAAATGAATGAAATGAAATGAGGTGAATTGGCAGGAAACAATCCCCTGCTCTTTTCCAAGCGTTATTTAAAAAAGTGCATGGATTATGTACATAGAGCCACTGGCTTAACCATTTCATAAGTCAGAATACTATGGGCTATATTGAATGGAATAGAGCACACAATATGTAACTTAGAATATGGTTATTCAACCCCTCCTGCCTCCTCATCCCCCACGATTTGTCTTCTGGCATCGTGCTGTTTGTTGTCGTCACATATAGCTTTTGTTTTCCGCACCTTTAAGTCTTCTCATTGGTATAAGCAAATTTTTCTTTATTTTGTTCTGTATATAGGGATTCATTTTGGCCAAATGGAATTCTAGCAGAAGAACAGCCGGAACGGGATGAACTTACCAAGCTGCGGACAAGAGTTGCTGCCAAAACAAAGCTACTGGGAAACGTACCAGGTACTAGTTATTGAAGATAGGGATAATAATAAATCAATGTTGATTGTGATGCCATTGATTATGACAAAAATGTTGGTGGTGATAGTTGAATAATTTGATGATGATAGTATTGCTTTTCATTTGCTTGTGTCCTTGGTCAATGCACTTGATGGTCTCTCATCAAGTTTATAAATGGTTACCTGATACAAGATGTATTTATTATCATAAGCAAAACAAGAACTGAGATTCACTATCCTTGGACATGTAGCAATAATAATAAATAACATAACATAAAAATTATATAAATAATCAAGATATGATCACATGGGATTTCGAACAGTTCATAATTTAAATGTTTTCTTTGTAAAAATCCAATACCAGCTTACTTGTTACTTGTCTTGTTACTGACATACCGGCTTGAGAAAGCTTCCAGTGTGGAAGCGAAACATCGTTAACAAGATGTCAATACGCCATGAGCATCTTCAACGAATACCAGCGCATTATAAATGTCTGTTTATTATTATGAATATATTATCACACTGGCGTAATGTGTATGTTCTCTGTTACATGGTGTTTTCTTTAATTTACCACTCACATTATGTGATTTTTCAGATGAACTGAAAAACTTTATTGGAGCGGACACAACAAGACGTGGTATTTTGCGGATGTTTGAAATGTTACAAAATAAGACATTTAACAAGCGGTTTGTGTACGTTTGCCTTGAAGGTTACATAGAAACTGTTTTCCCAGAGAATAAATTCCCAGAGACTTTCCGAAAGCTGCACTCTTTATCCCAGAGAGTGCGAGACAGGCCGAAAGAAACACTGAAACGTAGCGGATCTGCACGATCGCGTGGGAACTGGCTGATGAGGTCATTCAAGCGCAAACAGGAGGTCAGGTGACGAAAGTGAATGCTGATCTTTTTTAAGAACTCGGATGTAATCGTTAAAAAAATTTCTGTACATTTCACTAGATGAAGAGAATTGTAACCATCGGAGTGGTAATCATTTTCTAACTTATAATAAAAGAAAAAATAAGTAGAAACACAAGACAATGATAAAAGCAATATTGTTTAAGTAAATTCTGCTGATGAAAACAAGTAATCTGAAACATTGGACAATACTAAATACTATATCAATGTCGATCATGTTTTATACAGAATATTAACTTAAAATCAAATTTTATTTCGACCAAATTGTGTTGTATTAAGAATTTAGAAATGATATATTTTATCAACATTTTAAAAGATGTACAACCAAGAGATACTTATACAGTATGTGGCTATTGTATTCATTGAGATCATGAGTTTTAATGGCCTTTTCAATTTCAAAACATATTTACTCAACATATGCAGGATACCAACTCTCCTTCATCTCATTGCACACCAGTCCTTTATCTTTGATTTCAAATTAAATATTTTTTTAATCTTCTAAATCGTTGCAATTTATCTTCAACATGACTCTCTTGGTGTATTATAAAATGTTCAAAAAATCTGTAAAATTATTTATATTTGTATACATAAGTGTATATATCCTACAGAGTAAACCTATATACTACCTAAGTGTTTATATTATAACTATGTTTATTGTACTGTACTATTTTGTGTATACTTTCATTTGTCTTCATTCCATTCATGTATGTTTAGTTTGCCTAATTCTTGTATGTTGGTATGTGTGCCCTTGAAGTCAGTAGTAGTACAGTAATTGTCAGGCTTCAGAGATATTCAAAGACTAAAGCATTCTTTCTCCATATTTTCAGTTGAATTTCAGTCGTTTTGTGGACAATTTCCTCCCAACTTCTTAAATTTTACTAATGAGTGTTCAATTTTGCAATTTCATGGTGCTTGAAATGACAAATGATGAATGTTATTCACCTTTAGAAAATTTCTAATAATTCATAAATTTATTTGCAAACAAGTCACCTTAAAGATAATTTCAAAGGATCTACATTAAGATTTGAAACTGTTTGTTAAAATGTGTTAATTTCAACAGTCATTTATTGCTAAAATTAGAAGTTAATATTATTGCTTGAGTATTTGGAGGTCCACATTATTTGTGTGTGGTAAACTCATAAAGTTACAACCAGGCAAGTCACTAAGCTGCATTTGTGTATTTTAACTTGCAAATGGCAGTATTGTACCATGCAGACTGTATTATGCATTTAGACCTGGGGAGCCAAATACACATCACAGGTAGCTGGTATTTAGCAGTCTAATATTCCAATAACAACTTCTTGGGTTAACCCCATTTCACACTATACCTCCACTATAAAATATACTTTTAAATGTATTTGTTTATCTATGCATTATATTGATTAAGTTGATGTTTATGCATTTATGTTAATTAGGTTGACCTCTATGAGGTTACCCATAATGTGTTGATATATGTGCAATATCATACAATTTGTACATCAATGTTTATGTTTTATTGATTCCATGTACATAAACTAATACATAAAATCAACACAAATACAATAATACTAGGCCGAAGTAAAATAATATAAATCTATATATTTATCTAAATGTCATGTTGTATGTATATTCTTATTATAATGATAGCTATTTACAGAGGCAATGTACTAGGCATTGACTCAATTCCATCTTGTTAAAAACAAAGATGTATTTAAGTTATTTTATAGTTATAACTACCAGTCATCAGAATTATAAATTGCTGAATGTTCACAGATCAGGTTTATCTTGTTTATTTTCACTATATAAGTCAATTAATTATTATTATTATTGTTTTATTAATATCTCAGCAAGGACAGATTAATTTATAAAACACAATTCAGTTTTATCGCATCAAGGACAAAATAGATTAAAAATCAATGTATGCCTAGTCAAGGAATTTTAGAACAAGTTTCAGGTTTATCCCTTTCAACTTAAGTATACACTAATGATTTCTAAGACAGGCAGATCTATATAATATTAGCATTTTGAATCAGCACATGGTGGATGATTGTCCATCATTGCCAATCATTAACATTATTGTTTTTCTTGATACATTAGCATGTAGCAGTACTTAATGCTGATTTTAGCTGACTCTTATAACTTGTTAAATTCCTTGAAATAGCATTCTGTTGAGTTTTAAATTTTCTTTTTCTTTGCCTTGTCATTTAAATTACCTGCATTTCCCTTTGGCCATTTATTCATAAGTTTCCTCATTTTTCTTTTGGTTTTTTTCTTCATTAGTTGCTTTTTAATTTATTTTTAAGATTCTTAAATCCGTTTCCTCATCTTTCACATTAACATTTTCCTTGGCTTTTTTCTTCATCATAGTTGAATTTTAATTTATTTTTAAGATTCTTGTAACCAACAACAAATGCCCTGTTGGCAAATTTCTCCAGCCACCGTAGTTCCTACCTCATAATTTTGAGATGGTACTCCATCCTTCTTCAGTGAGTCAGTAATTACTGTTTGTTCACCTCCCTTATATTGTTTTTTTTTTGTCTTGATTAGTGAGCTATGTGGATGAAAGTTAATAATTATATCATAGATCACACATAAGGATTTCATGGAAAATGTTAGTAATATTATTGTGCAGCATATTCATACAGGTCTCTGAGTGCTAGGGGAAACACCTTAACTATCCCTGTCAGACATCATTGCAGTATCTCAGTCAATGTTTCAAGAATGTTGCATATATTCTATATTCATCTTTTTTTTTAATAGAATTTTAAAATACATTAAAAATTTACAAATCTGTATCATTTTATGATCCAACTCATACTCAGTTTTAATTTCTGTTATTTGCATATATTTTATAAATAGCTATTTTCTTGTATTTATGTTTATGTTATGTTTTCTTCATATTTTCATAAAAGGAATTTCTAATGTTCAAACCAAGCAATAATATATATGTACTATGTATCACTTCAGTTACATAATACAAGTGTACTCCATGTTGTGGTTACATGAAGCGTCCCTAAGGTACATGTTAGTGGAGAATGAGTGAGAGAAGCTTGTATACCAGTTCTCAATACAGTTTATCAATCATGGACTTATATTTTTTATTGTTATGTGGTCTTCAAACTGCCTTTCCCAGTGTATAGAATACAGACAAAATATAACTTACTGTAATAAACCAACATGTTTTTGTCTGCCATTTTGTTTCTTGCATATTCAAGTATTTTTAGTATATGCATAACAGGATCCAGATAAATAACATACACGTTCACCGTTGCATTCATACAAGAAAATAATAGGAAACTGGAAATGCGTACATGTGATTGGTTAATGATAGAAACACGCTCAACTTGCTAACAGTTAGTAGTGTATCCAGATCCTTGTGACATGCTAACGGTTAGCTCGGGCTCCAGTGTGAACCTAACCCTAGAGTACAGTCCAACATGAAGTGCCTTACACAAGTGAAATGAAGGCCATGGGATTTGAACCCAAGCTTTTGATTTTAGGAGGGGTGTATTCAGTGGACTGATTAACCCTTAAGTAAGTAAAGCCTGGTTTCTTTAAAATCGCTACAATGTTTTCAGTGCAAACGTTGCACTGCGTAGCAGTTTAAGACGTGATCGGGAAGACTCCTGATTCAACCGACCAATCAGCATCACCGAAAGCTGTCGGCGATAACGTGTAGCGCTTGTATGGTAGCTTCAGCAAGTAAAATAATAAATGTTACGTTCAGTATAAGAGTTGACACTCCATTGGATTTGCTATTCTGGCTATAAGCATCACTACTCTCCTTATTTTATATGTCCTCAACATTTGAGTAACATTTTTGCTATATATGAAAAATATTCACATTTTCACAATTCCACAATTTTATAGGTTTATTGGAATCCAACTAATGAATTACAAATTATATTTAAGGAGGTGATCTATATATATGTACAAGTATGTTAACAGAAGATAACTTGAACCAGTTGTTAAGTATGGCAACAATGTTTTAAGGTCTGTCATCATCATTTGCAGTCATTACGGTGAACAGTCCAGTGTTCCAAATTTATTCTTGGGTAAATGAATCCTGCAGCGCAACTGCCTCTACTTCAAAGATGCCTGTAAATATGTGTGGGTCATTATTGTATATTCTCCATGATGGCCAAACAAAATCCTAGTTATTGTTAATGTCAACCAATCAAAATCAGCAGCAAACATGTTCACATGAGTGTGAAGCTACGTGCCTGGCTACATGACTACTAGTTAGCACACATTGCTTAAGCTATTTAAATAGTAATTTCCAGAGGTTTTTCTGATTGTATTCACTCTCATTGTAGCCTTTCTGGAATTGGTTGCCAGGTATCTAAAATAAGAAAAAAGTTTTAAAATTTATAAGCATGAAATATTTGAGCACAAGACTAGTTACACACATAGTCAATGATTGAAATATTTTCTGATTTATATTTGAGTGTTTATGCAAAGAATATAGGAATGTTTATGCAACTGTAAACAGACTATAAAATGACAAGTTTATGTAAAACCAAATTGCGCTATTATTCGGCTGCCATCATTTATACGCATATTATTGTCTTGGAACATTTCGGTGCGATAAATACAGTATTTCCAAATATAAAGAGTCGCCACTGGTCTAGGCCGATCTATTCTAGACATAGGCTAAGCTAGTTATTTAGTTTCGAATGTTGAAGACTATCTTAACAATATTTAAATGCTTGCGGTACACCATGTAGATAGTTCTGAAAAGAACTGTTGTTTTTTAGAATGCCTTGGCATTTCGATTGAGTTGTACAAATACACAAAAATTGCCCGATTAGCCCTTTGGTTGGTTTGCCATACCCAGTGGTGGCTCTAA